TTGATTTTTGTTTTAATACAAACCAGTGAAGATGACACCAAAACATGAAAAACAAGTAAGTCATGTCTAAGCTTTAATAAAAAAGGATTCTACTTTGGTGGTTGTGGGTTGAATTTCATTAAGATTCACCTGGGCCAGGAAAGGCTGGTTGTATTCTTCATGCTTTAAGTGCCAGGCTACAGAATATTCTGGAGTGATGCAGTACTTCTGTTAAAGTTTGATGGAAGAATTAAATCTTCATTGGATCAGAGAGGAGGAGATTAAATGATTCAGTGCATAAGGGGTAGGAGAGGTAGGAGAGATGGACTTGGATTTCAGTCTTCTCTCCATCAGTCATTAGGAATTTTGTAGGACATAATGGTTGGAGCTGGGTCTGAACTCTGATTACCAGATGCATGGACCACAAGAATCACACTTGCACGTTCTCTTTTGCTCCGTCCCAATGAATGTTAAAAGTTTTAACAAATTATTTTGTCTCAGCTGTTAGTCTCTTATCAGCCTTACTACTCAGCATGTGTGGAGTGAAGATGCCAACACTCCCAGCGTGAAAAGCCCAATGTCCTTTGTGGTTGATCCTTTTACTAATAGGTGACCTGATGGGAAACTTTTTTTCTCGGAAGCATTGTGGAAAATGACTCTTCGGGGATTATTGACTAATCAGATGTGTAACAGTGGCACCATGGAGCATGAGGTTATCACCTGATACGGTCCTGAGCGCAGAGATTTGAATTAAAATGCAGCTGGAATGAATGAAGCAAATAATCATCCAATGCAAGATTATTTTTATTCCTCCTCCTTGTGGTAGATTTTTTTTCCCATATTAAAAATAGATGTTTCCATGTCAGATTTCCTATTTTCCTAATAGGAAAATGTTAAAAATAGACTTCTCAGAAGCACAGTTTTTGTGGTCAAATTCTTGTTCTGGTTTAACCCCAGTCAGCAAATAAGCATCACACAGCCACTCGTTCACACACACCACGCACACCCCGCCCCCTCCGGTGGGATGGGGGAGAGAATCGGGAGAGCACAAGTAGGAAAACTCCCGGGTTCTGGTTGGTTAAGAACAGTTTAATAATTTAAATAAAATAATAGTAATAAGTTGTAATGAAAAGGAAAACAGCAAAAGAGAGAGGGGAACAAAACCCAGGAAAAACAAGTCATGCAACCGCTCATCACTCACCGACCGATGCCCAGCTTGTCCCCAAGCGGCAGTCGCTGCCCCCCTGGCCCATTCCCCCCAGTTTATATACTGAGCATGACGTCATATGGCATGGAATACCCCTTTGGCCAGTTTGGGTCAGCTGCCCTGGCTGTGCCCCCTTGCAGCTTCTTGTGCACCTCCTCGCTTGCAGAGTATGGGAAACTGAAAAGTACTTGACTTAGTATAAAACCTGCTTAGCAACAACTAAAACATCAGTGTGTTATCACATTATTCTCATGCGAAATCCAAAACACAGCACTATATCAGCTACTAGGAAGAAAATTAACTCTATCCCAGCCAAAACCAGGAGAATTCTATACAGTAGAGCTGCTGGCTTATCCATGTCTCTGAGCAATCCACTGCGTTGTACAGAAATATTTCCAACAGGAGAAAAGGGGGGGCAGGGGAAGGAAAGACTTCTTAAGTTTGCTTCAGCTGCTTTTATGGTGTATTATTGCTTTTGAGGTAAATCCAAACAGTTTAAGTTTTCAGTGCTTGTGTCTACATGACCTCAGTGCTGCCCTTTTCCTCTGCTATCAGCATTCGTGCTCTTTGCGCAGGATTGTAACTGTGAGGGAGTAGGTGTAAACCAGGCCTGGGGATCACTTTGGCCATTTTGTCATTTCTGTGTGACCCTAACTACTTGGACTGCTCCAGGCCTTGAGGGCAGGGTAGCAAAATGCCACCGGTGCTACCCATGCCTGAACTGCCTGGCACAGAAATCACAGCTGTTTCAGCCAGGAATTAAAAGGCACATCCAGCAAGAGAAGCTGCTCTGGTAATTCCTGCTTGTTAAGTAGTTACGGCTACTTTTTGTAGTAGTTATGGCTACTTTTGGGGCAGGTTTGAAGTTCTTCATGAGGATGTTTGAGTCAGCACGTCTACTGGGGTCCATATCAAACCTACAGTATTAGCAGTTTGGATAGGAAAGGTTTTGCTTATGAATACAACGGTTTCCAGGGAGAAGGAATAAATGGTGATGCCACTTTGTCCAGCAGCTTTCTGTTGAGTCTATATCATTTCCAGTGCAATAGGCTTCTACGACCAAGCTTGGACACTTTGAACTATCAGCAGTAAGTTCTAGTTTTGAGAGAATTGTTACACTTAGGCGTTACAGGAAACATATCGTTCTTGAATGCATTGTTGGACATGCATGTATTGTGCCCCTCAATTAGGAAAAAAAAAAGAGAAAGTACATATAATGTGGCATAATAGCTAGATCTACAATTCTGGAAAAAAACAAGCAGAACTGGGTGAGAGGGGATGAAGACACCTTGAAAAGAATTGCAGCTGACGAAAGTAAAAAGTCCCTGAAACCTTGGCTCTTTAGGCTCTGCTTCCCAGGTTGTACGCTGGGCTGCAACGCAGTCCTGTGACAGAAGATGAAGTTAGTCTTCATGTGGGCCGTGGGAGGAAGAAGTCAGCCTCACCTCCCATAGGTGAACAGTGCATTACTTGAAGATAGATATGTTTATTGAGGGTATCCTAATTTTTATAGCAAGACAGGGAGGGAAGAGTGTATATACAGAGGAGAAAGGCAATTATTACCTAAAACTGCTGTAATCTGGTGACTGTTCGTGACCAGTGAACGCAGGGTGGACTGAGCGTACAACAGCAATCTCCCAGAGGAGTATTCTGCCACCTAACTCTGCTCGGACCCTAACATAGCCTATATGTGAATATTGGCCTTTACAAGCCTACTTTTATAGGGATGGGGAGGCATAAGCAACTTTTCTGGCAGTATATCTGCATCTATACTGGGCAGTTAGGGCTGCTTCGATTAAATCAGTATTGTTGTCCCAGTGGGGTCTTGTATCCTGGAGAAGGCTTAAAGGTCAAAAGAGAAGAGAGAGTTTACGTGTACAATACCACTGTTTCAGAGCAGCAGAAACTGTAACGGGAATTGGGATTAATGCTTCAAGATGTTATAGGGGAAGTAACCATAGATCTTGAGAAAGGCTGTACATTTTTGGTTTTGTTTTCTCATTGCTTAATGTTTATCTTGCTTCATTCTGAACTCACTATCGGTATTCTTTGGTAAATAAAGGAAGAAAAAAAAAAAGAAACACCCAGTCTTCTGCTGAAATCCTGGTGTTTCAAATCAGAGCTGACACTGAGTATATGTGAGGGCTGCAGTTTGCCGAGGTGCTCTGCTGTACTGCGGATGATTTTTACTCTGTGATATACTGCCTAGGCACCTGCCTACACAGCGTGTAACAGCAGGTCTCCTTTCTACTATAGGTAGAGTCTGAAGGGTGTTTGACTTCCTCAGTATTGAAACTCAGTGACTATTTAATTGGAAATTAAAAGAGTACAGAGGTTTTTGTGTAAGTCATGTAGTCCGGGATGATTTGCAAGGTAACCCGTAGCTAACCCACAGCATATCCAAAGTAACTTTTGATCATAATACTTTGGTATAATAGAGGTTGAAAGAAGCATTTTACTTCGAAGATTATTTTGATTCTGTACAAAGGAGAGGGTTATAGAAGGTTAGTTGGAAATGAAGTCATTTGGGGAATCCGGGCAAAAGGAAGGGCAATGAGAAGCCGGTGCGGCGGTGGGTGAGAGGCAGGGGACCCCGGCTGGGTTGTGAGCAGGCTGCCTGCAGTTGTGGCTCCTGGGCTGCAGCGGCTGAAGGGAAGAGGAGAGCAGCGTCCCCTTTGAAGCTTCCTGGCATAATTCCTTCTCTTCCACTCGCAGGACTGATGCATTTAGTGCTCAGGAGAGAGAAGAAAGTATGTTTAGGAGAAGTGGTTGCAGCTCTGGGGAGGAGTGGGACATGGGGAAATAGGAGGCTGGGGAAGACAAAAACTTGGGAGAACGTAAGACTGTGGATATAAAAAGATGTTACAGTGGGTCCGAAAGTATGCTATGTCTATATATGTATGCTAAATATGATAGAGAGTGAGGCAGGTGGAAAAAAAGAACCAAAAAGTGGTTTCCTCTCCTTGTTCAGCACATTGCTCAGGATCTGCTCGGGCGGGGGAATAACTTCCTCATGTCTCCCGCTAGCGTTTTTGTAAAAGTAAAGGCATGACCCTCAGCCGGTGGAAGTGATTACAGCTTTACTCATTTGTTTCTCTTGTGCCACATTGGCATGGGGTTAAAAAGCTGCAGAGGAGACTCGGGGCTCCGCCGCTCTTCAAAAAAGCGTCAGAGGCAGCAGGAGCCCTTCAAACAGGCTTCCTTTGGCAAGGTGCTCGTGACACGCACCAAAAGGGTATCCAGCAGTAATGCAGAAAACACCCCTGTGACTAGGAGCTGGGCCAAGTGAGATAAAACCGTGGGCTGTATCCAGCCATCAGGCCACAGGCTCCCCATCCCTGAAGCAGTACTGCCTGGAAATCAGAGTGATAAATGATTTAATCCAGACCATGAACACCTCCCTGCCATGTACAGAGTGCAATGACTGTTCAGGAAAAAAAATACATCTTTTCCTTTCAAGGTTGTCATTGTTCTCCTGTCGATCCATGAAGGTTGCTGCTGGTGGCACAGTGAAGTGTGTGCGGTGGGGGAGAAGACTTGGCTGAAGAGTAAAGGTTTTCTGTCTGACATCTGTGGTTTGGGCATGGAGAGAACACATTTTGAGAGCTTTCTAGTTCAAGATTCCTTGATTTATGCAAAGACATACTAAAAAAGCATGTTATTTACCAGAGACACTGCCCTTCCTCCCACAGTCGATTCCGGCACCTGGAGATCTTGTGCAGTGCCTTCTTCTCAGGGGGAATGTATCTACAGCTTAAAATGATATGCTTTTCTTTAACTGAGTCATTGTTTAACTGGTTGGCTTAGCTCTTCGGGTGAATAGCTTATTTAAGCAACTCAATTAGGGCAGCCTATTTGTTTGCTCTGGAAATAGCAGGTAGTTAGGCACACTTTCAACTTTTGTATTTTAAAGTAACCTTTTCCGTCTTAGTATGAACATGCGGATTTAGCAGGCTTTTTGTTTTTTGTTTTGTTTTTTTTTTTTTTAAACACAGTACAAGTTTTCACATGGTCATTAGCTGAGGATACTCAGAAGCATTTAATTCTTCAGCCTCTTCCAGTTCCTGTTAGTGATGCCCAGTTACATTACAGTAATGCCCACAGACCTCTCACACGCCTTCGGGATCCCTCTAAATTGTAATACAAATGTAGGAATTACAAGGAAATAGGCTAAATATGACAACTTCTACAACAAATACTCTATGTCGTTGTCCCCCAAAAACGGGGAATTATGCTCTGCGGTGCAGTGTTGCTTCCTTGGGCAGGTTGATGGGCAGACTGGGACAGAAGTGCCCAGGTCCTGCATCCTCGGCTGTACTCCGTGGCTTAAGTTTCTGGTGTATCAGGAAGGATATGCGGCAGAAGGGGAGGATTCATCTCCTTCCACACGGCATCTGGGACACTGGGCTTGACACCTTGATTCCCTGTGTCAAATCTGTGTCCGGGGCAATTAATAGTGGTACATCCTTTGCCACTGGGCTGGAGCAAGTCATTTGGGGCGTAGAAAAAAGGCGGTTCTTCAGCTTCTCGTGGAGATACTGAGCGCTTACCGCAGATGCCTGAAATCGATGGGTATCAATGTTTGATTGAAAAAAAAATAGATAAAATGACAAAAAGAAATTTAGGAGCGAATAAAATGTTGTATGTAAGTATTGGGTACATGGAGTAGGTTTGTAACATGTTCTTCGTGAATGTTGATTACAAGGGTGGGAAAACCCTAAAATACCTGCCTAGTTCTCTCTTACATGTGTGACTTTGAATGTTAGGTTTTTTAGTTTGTAGCTACTGAGATCACCAAATCTCCCATGCATGAAACATGGATGACTTTTCACAATATTACTTAATCTGAAATATTCCTTTTCAGCTAGCAATTTGGCAAGGAATTTCCCGGACATGTGGTGTAGCTCAGATGATTCATTGCTTTTTGCTTCTCCTTTTATAGGGTTGCAAAATTCAATAAAACAGTTCAGCTTTTAATCTGAGCACAGTAGTTTGTGGAACAGCAGAGCAATCAAGAGAGTCTTTCAGGCTCCCTTTGTCTTCCGAAATTAATTGCTTGATTTTTGTTATGCGCTTGCAGGAATTTGTAACTGTCTTGGTGCGAGACCCCAGGACACAGAAAGAAGACTCATGGCATTCTTACATAGACTATGAGATATTTATTCACGTAAGTATAAGAATATCAGCACACATTCTTACTGCTGTTACTGCTGTTTCTGTCCAAGCTAGGGTTCTCTTTGGGGTATTAATGGAGTTTCTTTACACCACTTCTGGGAGGCAGAAGGTCTGGCAGAGCTGGGAGTTGAACTTGGTGGTATGTTCACATGTGCACTCCACAATGTCTTGCAACAGAGAATATTCTTAGCTTTACTTATCAACTAGAAGACTGTCATAGTCAGTGATGTCTTACCACAATAGAAGAATTTTGATGTTCAGGTATTCGTGGGAAAACAACTTTCTTTTCAAGTAATTACCTTGTTATTTATACTTTAAGTTCTCCTCAGTTCTTCTTTTTGCCAAGTTATTTGGTTGCTGCAATGGGGTTGTTTTCAGTGTACCTTGACATTCATATTATGCTAGTTTAGTGGTGCTTGGATATGTCAAGTAACTACATTTGGGTTTATGATTGTAGTCTACCATATGTTAATGGGAGCGCACTTAGAATTATGGTTCTCCTGTGTCTTAAATCTGTCCTATACATCATTTTGTTTTGTTGATTATTATTCTTTGGTTGGTGACATATGGAAGGAGTTACCCTAATTTCCCAAAGCTACATCCAGGGATTTTTATTGCAACGTAAAAAAAATTTTTGTGAAGTGTATCTGCTATCAGGTGGAGAATTTGAGAGCACCGAGTTACGTGGTTAATGCTTGGCACAGAACCGAAAGCATTTCCTTCCTGTGTGGGGGAGTTAAGCATTCAAGCATAATGAGAGCGAGCAGTCAAATGATGGCTTATTAAATGTCCGTCGTGACAAGTACTTCTCTCCTGTGTGGCAATCAGAGCTGTGAAACTTTTACATTTTGCAATGTGGTTTAAGTACTGGCTTAAGACTTTTGGTAAATAGAAATTCTGTAGATTTGGCGGGGCGGGTGCTGTATTACTGTTTCACAGGCATCGGTGCTTCTGAATAGACGTGTATTACTGGCTTTCTCAGCGACTGCGAGGTTGGGGTGATATCATTTAGACCCAGTGTTCATGATTCAGCACTGGGCATCTCTGGCTTTCAGAGACCAAGTCTCTAGGTCAGTCCTACCATCCAGGCTTCTCAATGGATTCAAAATCTTGGGTCTGCCAGGCTCTTAGACTAGCTGGGTTTCCCTTCTGCCCAGCTCCTAGAGCGTTCGGCTTCTTAAACTGCGAGGCATCCCGGATACTCATCTATTCCAGAAAGCTGGCATCTTTGGGCCCTCTACAATCTGCATCGTGTGGCTGTCTAGGAGTTGTGGCTCCTGGCAGGCGATGGAGGGTGGGTTGGACTGCAGGCAGATTTATAATGGAATCCTGTCTGGTAGGTGGGGTTTCATCTAAATATATACTCCACAGGAAAATTTGGCAAAAGCATTTAATTTCCATGAATTGTTTCTCTTTTGATGAATTTGCATTTTTCTGGTGGACTAATAGTGTTTTGTGGGAAAACTTCCAAATGCTGCTACTTGCAGAGAGGAGTCACATTGGTTTCTTTGATTTGATTTAAGTAAGATTGCACGCTGGAAGAACTCTATGTAGCTAACTGTTTGCAGGATTATAACTAGAATAGCTAAACATTTTTTTTTTTCCCCCTGCAAAGATTGCATTATCTGCTGAAACTTTTTTGTGAGGTCTGTTACTGCAAGTTGTACTGTAATCCAGATCTCTTGCTTTTAAAAAGAAAAAAAGCTATGGAAAATATTTCCCTGAGAAGCAGTAGAAAATGTCACCAGTCCTGTCTGAGATAAAGCACAGCCCTTAACCTAAACTGAATTAATGTCAAGCTTTCCATTGGTGTCTCAGGGATTAGCATCTTGGATGTGTTTTTAATACCATGCCTGCACTTTAGCTTAAGCTGATTTACAAAGTAAAATGTTTTTTATTTCCCAACAGACAAACAGTATGTGCTTTACAAGGAAAACATCCTGTGTTAGACGACGCTTTCGAGAATTTGTTTGGCTTCGGCAGAGGCTTCAGAGCAATGCAGTGCTTATGTGAGCAACTTTATATATGGCTATTTAATAATCTGTCAGTCATGGAAGGGGAGGATTTTTTCATCTTAATTCTGAGAATTACAGAAATCGGAGCTGGAAAGCGTCCTGTGTTTCTTACTAGCACAAGTTTATTCTGAAAAGGCATTTTCTCTGCTTTAAACACAGAAGAATGTGGTCTGTACTGATAGCTTTTGTTTGGTGAGCTCCCCTCTAATTTGTAACAGATTTGATCTGCGTTTCCTTTTGGTATGCACAGGTAGCAGAAATAGCAATCTAGCGTAGGTGTACGTACCTCCTCTCTGCATTTTTAGGATGTGCTTAGGTTCTGCAAGGACCTGCAAGAGACCCAGCCAGACATGCATGCAGGCTTAACAACTGGACCAGAAAAATCAGATTAATTTATTTTTCCCTCTGAGGCATGTGAGAAGCCCTCCAGTTTCTCAACCTTGTGTTTCCAAATTCGATTTCATGAGCTTCTGGAACATGACCTGTGATTTTCACATGCTCAGGGTTGGCATTTGCTTATTGTATTTTTCTCCGCTGTTTCAGATTTGGTTTTAACTGTGTATTTGCTTCTTGTTTATAAAGACAGCTACCTGAACTGCCATCCAAAACGCCCTTTTTCAATATGAACAATCCTCATCACGTGGACCATCGCCGGCAGGGTCTGCAAGAATTCCTGGAAAAGTAAGTACAGCCTGTCCTAGAGGTGTTGGCATTTTTATGATGTCATCAATTTCCTGGTTTAAAATAGCTCATCTCTGGTACTTGAGAGCCACCGTGTGGTCATCTGTACATGTTACACATTTGGTTTTATTTTTTATTTGCACAGTCATATTTCATACACGTGACTTCAGCTCTATTGGTTATAAGGAAACTTCAACGGGGGCTTTTCCGTTGTGTTTCATTGCATTGGTTATCAATAAGAGTTTTGCATTTATGTCACTTTGCAATTGTGTACTAAGGTTGGGAGATCTTTCACCGTGATGTCTATTTCTAGCTTTCAGGAATGAGCTAGGTATTCTCATACAAAGAAACAGACTTCTCTCCCTCTTTATGTTCATGGAAAATCAGTGTCTTTGTGGACTAGACCCCTGGGAGCCTGGGAAAATTCTGCAGCGAGATCTCCTAACACAGATATTTCCTATAATGCCAGTTACTTTGTTTACCAGTCCCACTAACATAAACAAGCTCTAGCAGCTGTGACCATTTTCAGTACAGCTGCAATCTGTATAAAATCATTCATCAGACTCAGCTGGAGCCTGACCTGCAGTTACAAGGGGGTTTTGTATGAGTTTCGGTACTGCATCCCTCAGTCCCGCTGCTGTAACCACTTCACCTTCTGCAGTGGCAGAGACCCTGTTGGTGTAATTTTCGGCTTTCTCTGCCATTCTCGTAGTACCCTGGCACTGCTGGTGTGAGAGCAGGCTGCTCACGGCTGCTGGGGCAGGAGTTGTGCATACATTCGCTAGCTCTTTTTAGCCACTGCTCGGGGTAAGGGCATGGTAAAACACTGTGAGTAGAGACTGTTCATCTTCTTTCAGCATCAATGTTTCCATGAATCAGAACTGCATAAGCAAAGGAAAAACGCAAATCATTTAAGTAGGCTTTAAGCCTTATGGTCAGTGGGTAGAGGAATAATGGACCACTATTTTTCCAGTCAGTGTATTATAATTATAAGCCTCCCTAACAGACAACAAATCATTGGTCCTGAAGTATATTTGTTAGGCTTAAGAGCTGAAGGCAGGGAGAGCTAGCCGCTGCAGGAATAACATTCTGTATACAGTTATATAGGATCTGTGGCCAAAAGGATAGCCAATAAATACTGGTTGAAGGCATGTGAGACAGGGAAGGGAAAGCAGAAAGGATCAGAGTTTTTTTTCTGCACCTCAGGAAAGAAGGACGGTGAAATAGAGTGACTGTGCTTCTAGAGGCGGTAATATTAATGGCCATACGAAGGGTGTGGTAGTTCAGGTCCCTGGGTCTGAGCAGTTCTAGCTTAGCTGTGCTGCCCCATGGAGTAGTGCGTTTCCAAAATCACTCTCATTTTAAAACAGCCACTAGGCCAATCTGGTAACAGGGTACAGTATTTCAGTGTCAAAAATATTTACAACCACTGTCTGTGCTTCAGAAGGCAAAACAGAGAGGTAGATTTCCTTAAAACACATCCTCACTCTCCAATTTTGTGAATGTCTGTAGCTTAAATGGGTACTGACAGCAGAAAATGGCAGCATGTGGAGCGTTTTACCTTGCTGCTGTAGTAGTCCAGGAGTGGGAAAAGAGGCATCTCTGTTGTAAGGTAACGATTTAAATGTTTGAACTTGGATGCTGTTTAGAAAGGTGTCAGCTTTCTCTCAGCCCTGGGGAATAGTTGGAAGGAATTTTCAGAGATAGAGTTGTGTTGTGATGAATTGGCTTGGCACCTTGCGTGCTGTACCATTGCCCTCTGCTGGCTGGCACCTCTGTGCTGCTGCGGCTGCTTGCAGAAGGGATCTTTTTTCTGGCTCAGCTAGCCTGCCATGATGCTTCCCCCCC